CCCTTTTCTTAAATTCCTGAGCTTTGAATATTTCTGATTTTCTGTCAGTCCACCTGTCACCGTGAGTTAGTAATACTTAGCGAACACTGCATGTAAATACAGCCCTGCAAGCCTGGGATCTGGCAATATGTCTGCTTCCTGTGTGGTACTCTGTATTGGGCAGAACTTGGCATCCTTAGTCTTGTTAAAGCAAAGTAGTGCGTGGCTGGTATCGTATAAACATCTGCCGCATCCTGCTTTGTATATATATTTACTCATTGCAAGTTGACAGCGATGGAAATACATTGCAGCTGCCTCCACACTGACACCCAATTTATCCCAGCACTTCCCTTAAGTCAATTACTTTTCCAGACAGTGACATTACCCCTTCTTGCCCCATTTTATACAGTGCGTCTCTAAGCCAAAGAGCTAGCACTCAGATTCCCATCCAGGTATGCACAGGCTGCAAGTGGATGTGCTTGGCAAGGTGTGCTGTAGACAAAACCCTGCAATCTATTAGGCAATGGGCCAAGGAGCTTACAGTCTGTTAGTCTGAGCTTACAGTCTACTGATCTGAGATCCTGGGTCCAGGAGCTTACAGTCTACTGATCTGGGATTTCCGGGGTCCAAGAGCTTACAGTCTACTTGTCTGAGATCCTGGGTCCAGGAGCTTACAGTCTACTTGTCTGAGATCCTGGGTCCAGGAGCTTACAGTCTACTTGTCTGAGATCCTGGGTCCAGGAGCTTACAGTCTACTTGTCTGAGATCCTGGGTCCAGGAGCTTACATTCTACTGGTCTTAGATCCTGGGTCCAGGAGCTTACAGTCTACTTGTCTGAGATCCTGGGTCCAGGAGCTTACAGTCTACTGGTCTGAGATCCTGGGTCCAGGAGCTTACAGTCTACTGGTCTGAGATCCTGGGTCCAGGAGCTTACAGTCTACTGGTCTGAGATCCTGGGTCCAGGAGCTTACAGTCTACTGGTCTGAGATCCTGGGTCCAGGAGCTTACAGTCTACTGGTCTGAGATCCTGGGTCCAGGAGCTTACAGTCTACTGGTCTGAGATCCTGGGTCCAGGAGCTTACAGTCTACTGGTCTGAGATCCTGGGTCCAGGAGCTTACAGTCTACTGGTCTGAGATCCTGGGTCCAGGAGCTTACAGTCTACTGGTCTGAGATCCTGGGTCCAGGAGCTTACAGTCTACTGGTCTGAGATCCTGGGTCCAGGAGCTTACAGTCTACTGGTCTGAGATCCTGGGTCCAGGAGCTTACAGTCTAATGGTCTGAGGTCTTGGGACCAGGAGCTTATAGACTAGTGATAAAATGGCCACACAGAACTTATGTACCATATATCCTGCATGCTCAATGTAAAATGTATCATAAAAAGCTGTTAAATAAGAGAATCTTTCGTCAGAGCTACCATTCTTTTGAGTTGATACTGAAAACATAGGGATAATTTAAGTCACTGTCTCAAAAAGCTTACAATTCAGTAAGAGTCGGGCTGCCTGTCATGAGCTCTCAGTCTAATGGTGTGGGTCCCCCGAGAGTTAAATAATGCTCATTGATTAAACTGGCAGCCTAATGGGAGATTCAGGCTCTGCGGTAGGATTGTCTATCTATGTCTGGTTTATTTTCAGAGTTATTCTAGACGATCAAATTTAGGTTGTTAGATGGGGAGCGGGGCGGTTTTGTGTTAATTTGGAAAGTTAACTTTTAGGTTAATTGTAAAGGATTATGTCACCACCTCCATCATCCCCCCACATACCCCCTCAAGGCTCTGTATTGACTTAGATTGAAGGAACCCAGAGGCCCACAATATAGGGATTCCTTATTCACAGACACCGGTGGTAGAGAGAGTGCGTTTGACCCATGTCGTCCTTACAAGATGTGATGTATTTTCAATACCTACCTAAGCTCATGTTGATCTGTCTGATCTGTCCAATCTGAACACCAGTGCAAGTGTGATGGTCTGTGGCAAACCCTGCTTGAGCACAGGCATGGATGTATCTTTTCTTGAGTGCAGGTGTGTGGGTATCCTTACTTGAGCGCAGATGTAATGGTGGATGGCTATCCCTGCTTGAGTGCAGGTATAGACTATAAGCTCGTTTGAGCAGGGTCCTCTTCAACCTATTGTTCCTGTAAGTTTTCTTGTAATTGTCCTGTTTATAGTTACATCCCCCCTCTCATAACATTGTAAAGCGCTACAGAATCTGTTGGCGCTATATAAATCGCAATAATAATAAATAAGGTGACGGCTCAGCGCAGGTATTGGAGGTGATGGGTATCCCCGGCTCAGCGCAGGTATTGGAGGTGATGGGTATCCCCGGCTGAGTGCAGGTATTGGAGGTGATGGGTATCCCTGGCTGAGCGCATGTATTGGAGGTGATGGGTATCCCCGGCTCAGCGCAGGTA